TAGAAATAATAGTGATAGGATAAGGAAATAGTGATGGGATAAAAAAAAAATTATGTTGTTTGGTTGGCAACATTTTTCTACAAGTTTTTTTTTTAAGGAAACGTTTTATTCCTTATGGGCTTACTTAGTGCGAATAAATCACGAGTGTCACTCGCGGAATTAGTGATCATGGTCGATTAAATTCAATAGTTTTTATTCAATCAACATATTCGTATTTAAAATAATTATTAAATATATATTAAGTTTAAAACTTAATTATATTTAATAGAAAGTCGTCATTTTAAAATCTTAAAATTTATAAAATTAAAATTGTCTCTGCCTATATAAATCAGACCAATTATTTCGAACACGGAAAATGATCGAACCAACAACAAAAAAAGTTGAGAATATACTCCTCACTATAGTGAGTTGTCAAAATTGAATGCATGAAGATAGAGATATGCATTTTGCATAGAATATCATTTCCAATAACGCTTATCATGCATAAGAGACATGCATTTATCCGCAAATGGAATAAAATATCATGTCTTAATTCTAGGGAATACTAAGCAAATAGCCCTTAGAATGAAAATAGTTACAAGCTTATAGCCCATTACTTTCATAGCCCCCTAAATAATTACATTCTATATCCCCTCAAACAATTGGCTATAACAAACTAAAAAGCCCTAACAATAAACTTTCAAAACAGCAATTTCCGCCACTTCAACAAATCAGAAAACTCAATTTTGATCAATTCTCTGTTCTACCGCAATTCTCCTTCCATCTTTATCCGCAATTCTCATTCTTCCCTCATTTCTCCTTCTTTCATCATCGACGATTCTCCTTCTTCCAATTCAAATCAACACTCAATTTCGAGGATGGAGCAAATATCCATTCTTTTACAGCATGATGGAATTTGGCATTCACAGAATAAAGTTGATGTACTGCTCGTAGAAAACACTACAAATTTCAAAGATTTTATAAAATAAATAGCAGATCATCTCAAAATCAATGGAAGTATTGACATAAGCTATTCAATTGCAGAAGGATTTCCGCAATTGAAAGTATCTAGTGATATGGCCATCAAAGTTTACCTTGACTTGAAGAAGAAGAATCATGATATTGCTTCTTATCCGATAATCATTGCCGACACCTGCAAAACAATGGAAAAAATGATCAATTCTCTAGAAATATCTCAAAAAAATACAGAACTACTGATTTATGAAAAAAATACATGTAATGAAATTGTTCTTCCTGCTAATAATATTACTAAGGAAATGACTTCCATAGAGATAATCGTAGACTTCTCGAAAGAACCAAATCAAGTTTATCAATTCTACCAAAACAAAATCACTCTAGCTCAAGATGTAAAACGACATTCAGTTCATGAAGGTTTTCAATATAGAACTCCGAGATCTTACAAAAAGAGGTATAATGCCTATACATAATCTTGTATATGACATGCTGCTTTTTTGTAGATTGATGAAACAATTGAGGAAAATTGCAGAAATACTGAATGATACGATAGTAGTATATGACATGTTGTTTTTGTATCATTCAGAAATAATCTGGAGAAAACAAGCAATTACTAAATGATATGAGAGTAGTATATGACATATTGTTCTAGTATCATTAAGAAATAATCAAGAAAAAAAGAGCAATTACTGAATGATGTCGTAATAGTATATGGCATACTGTTCTGGTATCATTCAGAAATAATCTGGAGAAAATGAGCAATTATTGAATGATGCCATAGTAGTATATGGCCGTATAGTTAGGAAATTATTCAAAAATAATCTAAAAAATATGAGCAATTACCAAAAGATACCATAGTAGTATATGTCATACTGTTATATTATCATTCAGAAATAATGTTGAGAAAATGAGCAATTACTAAATGATAGCATAGTAGTATATGGCATATTGTTTTGGTAGCATTCAGAAATAATCAAGAAAAAATGAGCACTTACTGAATGATGTCATAATAGTAAATGGCATATTGTTTTGTTATCATTCAGAAATAATCTGGAGATAATGAGCAATCACTGAATAATACCATGGTAGTATATGACATACTGTTTCGATATCATTCAGAATTAATCAAGAAAAATGAGAAATTATTGAATGATGTCATAATAGTATATGACATACTGTTTTGGTATCATTTAGAAATAATCTGGAGGAAATAAGCAATTACTAAATGATATCATAGTAGTATGGCATATTGTTCTGGTATCATTTAGAAATAATCAACAAAAAAAGAACAATTACTAAATGATACCATAGTAGTAAATGTCATACTAATCTGGTATCATTCAGAAATAATAATTAAAAAAATGAGCAATTACTCAATGATGACATAATAGTATATGGCATACTGTTGTGGTATCATTAAGAAATAATCTGGAGAAAATGAGCAATTACTAAATGATATTATAGTAGTATATGACATACTAATTTGGTATCACTCAGAAATAATCTGGAAAATGAGCAATTACTAAATGAGTATCTATATACTATATTGGTATTATTAACATTCCTACTTCACACCCTACTCGTTAGTTAAATTATAGAAAAGACAATCTATATACTCTAATAGTATCATTAAGGTTTTCTTCTTCATAAATTACTCAAAACTAAGTGATACCAATAGAGTATCTATATAGTGTATTGATATCATTAAGGTTTTCTTCTGCATACACTACTCGTTAGTATGTGATACTAGAACAATATCTACATACTTTATAGGTATCATGAAGGTTTCTTCTTCATAAATTACTCATAAAACCATGCTTCAAAAATATTTTACGAAACAATATTGTATGAGTATCATTAAGTTTTTTGTTCATAACTAACTTATTAAGTGTCTAAAATAGTATATCTCTACTGAATGTATATCATTAAGGTTTGTTGTTAATAACTGACTTAGAAAGTGATACTAAAATAGTATATAAATATTGTATGAGTATCATTAAGATTTTTGTTCATAACTAATTTATTAAGTGATACTAAAATAGTATATCTCCACTGAATGAGTATCATGAAGGTTTGTTGTTAATAATTAACTTCGTAAGTGATATTAAAATAGTATATAAATATTGTATAAGTATCATTACATTTTTTGTTCATAATTAATTTATTAAGTGATACTTAAATAGTATATATTTACTGAATGAGTATCATTAAGATTTGTTGTTAATAACTAACTTAGTAAATGATATTAAAATAGTATATAAATACTGTATGAGTATCATTAAAATGAGTGTTTCATATATTCATATAGCAAAAATATAGAAAGAGGAAAAATTTAACAAGGAAGAAGAATATAAACTTACAAAAAAGAAAAAAAGGAATTAAGAGAAAAAACGAAAAAAGAAGAAAACAAATAATAAACTATTATCAAAAGAGACACAGGAATAAAATGATAAATGAGAAAAAGACAAAAACGATACATAAATATAAAAAATAAAGTGTTTTCTTAATTACTCCTAGATGTAGTTTACTTATTCATCTTTTTTTTTTTTTTAGCTACTTCTTCATGTAGTTTAATCTAATTTATTTATTAGTATAAAATAATTAGCTTAAATTTTCTATATTTTATTTTTATGTTTGAAAAAATAAAATAAAATTTTAAAAATAATTATAAAAAAAAAAGCTAAAGAATAAAATAATTAAATTAGTTTGGCAAAATAGAATACACAAATTTAGAATCTAGGGTGCAAGAAAGAGAGAGAAAAAAACAAGAAAATAAAGAAATACTAAAAAAAAAAAAAAAGCTAACTAATAGAGTAATAGTCAAGGTATGCGCTTAATTAATTCTTGCCGAATGAGTATTTGGTGTAGTTTATACATGAAGGAATGGGCCGATGAAGGGGAGGGGTATGGACTGTAAATATTTAGGAGAGAATGGGTATATGAAGAGTTACTTTGGGTTTAGGTATGAGCTTGTAAATATTTTAAGTTTGATGGCCCTTTTTGTAGTTTTTCCTATATTCTAATATACGTTGGCATGCATTTTTCTACAAGTTTTTTTTTGAAGGAAACGTTTTATTCCTTATGGCCTATGGGCTTACTTAGTGCGAATAAATCAAGAGTGTCACGCGCGGAATTAGTGATCATGGTCGATAAAATTCAATAGTTTTTATTCAATCAATATATTCATATTTAAAATAATCATTAAATATATATTAATTTTAAAACTCAATTATTATTAATAAAAGTCATTATTTTAAAATTTATAAAATTAAAATTGTGACTCTATCGATATAAATCAGACCAATTATTTCGAACACAGAAAATGATCGAACCGAAAAAAAAAGTTAAGAATATACTCTTCACTATAATGACTTGTCAAAATTGAATGCATGAATATAGAGATTGCGGCCAATTGAATAATATAATATACCCACAACAAATTTGGCATTGTATATTATTCTCACACGGTGAATATTATTAGTTCACATATTCCACATTTAGACGATTTCTTCATTGCTTCTTTGAAAAAAAAAAGAATTATCACTTGATTCTAGTCAGCCCAAATTACCTCGAGCTAATTAAAGCCACAAGTTTCAGAAAACATTTTTTGCAAAGTTATAGTTTAATTTGACTTTTCTACTTAATCTTATACCAATGGTTTTTAGAATTCACTTTTTTTGGGAAAAAATTGGCAAATAGTGTTGGTCCATATTGTTGAGAATGTAAAGTATATAGTAAAGTTAGTTAGCAGTGTGCAGTAAAGTTAGTTATGAACAGTAGAGTTAGTTAAAAGGATCAGTTAGTTAGAATTAGTTAGGGGTCAAGTTGTTGATTAGTTAATTCATACAATATTAGTTGCTTAGTGATTGTGTATATATACAGATACATTGTAATACTCACTTCTTCAATTCACATTCAATGAGAGATAATTTTCACGTTACTCTTCTAGATTCTTCTTCTTCCTTCTCTCATCTTCTCTCATGTGAGTTGGAGCTCCATCAATGGAGGAGCTTGATTGATCAGTAACAAGTTGTGCTGATTTCATCATGGTATCAGCGCACAGGGAATTGCTCCTGTCTTCTTTCCGTTTCCAATTCGATCTGTGAGCTTCGTTTTCTTTTATGTGAATTTTTCGTTTGATCTGGTTGTTCTCGACTCGATCTTCGATCTGTCAATTTCATTTTCTTTTTATGTGAACTCTGTTTGATCTAGTTATTCTCGACTTGATCTTCTTCCTAATTTTCAATTCACCATGGTCGATTCTTCAGATGATTCCATTCCAAATGCTTCTACATCCACTGTTAGGGTAGAAATCCCTAGTCCTTTCTACTTGCATCCATCTGAGAATGCGAGTTCATCCCTATTACCTGCAGTTTTCGATGGAACTGGTTACAGATCCTGGAGAAGAGCAGTTCTCAGGGCTTTATCTGTTAAGAGCAAGACATGATTCATTAATGGGAAGGTTGTGAGACCTGATCCTACTGATCCTACCTTTCAGCAATGGGAAAGGTGTGATGATATGGTCACATCTTGGATCCTGAACTCCTTGTCACCAGATTTGCGTGATAGTCTGCAGTATGTCAATAATGCTCAGGAAATTTGGGAGAACTAGAAGAAAGGTACGATCAAACCAATGGTTGTAAGTTGTACCAGCTTCAAAAGGAGATCAATGACCTTGTCCAAGGCACTCTGGATATCACTGGTTACTACACTAAAATGAAGAAACTCTGGGAAGAAATGAGCACTATTGATATCAGCTCTCAGTGCAATTGTGTGTGCACTTGTGGTGGTAAAACAAAATTGGTTAAGGCTGAACAAGATCGCAGCCTTATACACTTTCTAATGGGTTTAAATAAGATGTATACTGCAGTCCGAGGCAACATTCTCATGATGAATACTCTACCAAGTATGGCCCAGGCTTTTGCCATCTTGTCCCAAGAAGAGAAGCAAGGGGAGGTGAAGCCTCATAATCATACAACCTTGGATTCTACCTCTCTCAATGCCTATGGACAGACCCCCAACAGGGGATTCAGGACAAACTATAGTTCATCTAGAGGAGGTGGAACCAGTTCTGGAAATACAAGCAATAACACTGGGTTTAGAGGCAATTCTAGTACTAGCAGGGCTTCTTTGTTCTGTGACTACTGTAAGAAATCAGGACACACGAAGGATAGATGTTACAAGCTTCATGGATACCCATCCAATCCAAATCCAAGGTTCCAAAAGGGAAAAGGCACAGGTTCTGCAGCAAATGTGTATGCCCCTGATATGAATGGAGTTCAATCTAAAGAGAAATCTGAAGTAAGGAGACAAATGCCATTGAACCTGTCCAAAGATCAATATGAACAACTATTCAATCTCTTGGGAACTCTGCAAGTGGAAATGGAGCCTCAAATTCAAACAACTCAAACAACATGCTGAATGGAGCTGTGAACCTGGCAGGTATACTTGCTTGTTATTCCTCTATAACTGATATAAGTGATCTTTCTTGTAAATGCGTTAAGTTGACTACTGGCTCTTGGATCATAGACTCAGGAGCATCACACCACATGACCTATGATAAAACCACACTCACAAACATTAAATCACTTCTATATCCTTTCCTAATCTCACTACTTAATGGTTATAAGGTTATAGTGACTGAAATTGGTGATATTTGTTTGAATCCAACATTGACTCTAAGAAAAGTATTATTTGTACCTAGCTTCAAGTTTAATCTCATTTATGTTCATTGTTTAGCACTATGACTCAATGGTGTAGTCAGTTTTGATAAATTTTCTTGTTTACTGCAGAGCCCTTCTCTGAAGGGCCCTCTGGAACTTGGTAAAGCCAAGAGTGGCTTGTACTTCCTGTGTAGCAAATGCCACAACTGTTATCCATCTGCTGAGAACAAACCACCAAGATTACCACACTTCAATTGTCATCTTGTCCCTTCTTTAGACAACATTGATAAAATTTCAAATTCAAAAGTGTACACTTCATCTTCTGTAAAACACTCTCCTATAAATAAAGAAGATTGTATTGTGGCTTCTTCCTCTTGTCTTTCTGATGCTTGTCCTTCATTTGCAAATATCTCTAATCACATTCATGATGAGGAACTCTTATGGCATGCTAGATTAGGACATGTACCTTTTGTAAAAATGAAAAACATTTCAACCATACCTATGAAATTTTCTCCCAGACAACCTTTTTCCTGCACAATATGCCCTATGGCCAGGCAAACTAGGATGCCATTTCCGGAAAGCACTACTAGTACCACCAAAGTGTTTGAGTTACTACATGTTGATTTGTGGGGACCCTACCATATTCCTACACATGATGGCTATCACTATTTTCTCACTATGGTAGATGACCACAGTAGGTCCACTTGGACACAATTGCTAAGATGTAAAAGTAATGCCCTCCAAACCATAAAAGCTTTCATATCCCTTATAGAAAATCAATTCCAAACCAAGTTGAAAGCCATAAGATCTGATAATGGGTTAGAGTTCACTTCAGCTGAGGCCACATGTTTCTTTCAAACCAAGGGTATTATACACCAAAGAACTTGTCCTTATACACCTCAACAAAATGGTGTGGTTGAAGGAAAACATAAGTACCTCCTAGAAACAACAAGAGCATTTTTATTTCAGTCAAAATTACCTATGAGGTACGGGGGGAATGTGTACTGACTGCTACATACCTAATTAATAGATTACCCACTCAACAACTTCACAACAAGACTCCATATGAAATATTATACCAAAAACAGCCCACATATTCTCACCTTAAAAGTTTTGGTTGTCTTTGTTTTCCCACTATCTTGAAAACTCACAAGGATAAGTTTGAACCAAGAACCACACCCCATATTTTTGTTGGCTACCCATTCAATACAAAAGGTTACAAAGTTTTGAGTCTAGCTACCAAGAGAGTTCATATATCTAGAGATGTGACTTTCCATGAAAAGGTTTTTCCTTTTGCTATTGCCCCTGATGGTTCTAGTTTCAATTCCATTGCGCAAATGTTTATTCATGCCACTAACATGACTTGTATGCCTGGTCAAATGAACATTTTTACTGATGATGATATGCTGGACATTTTCACACCACATGAGGTCATTAACAATCAAATAATCAGTAACACAAATATGAATGTAATACCATCTGCTGTCCAACCTGAACCTACAAATAACCTGCCTAGTCCGAATATTTCCAATGATACTTTGCCAGCACCCAGAAGAACCACCAGGCCTATTCATACTCCTACTTACCTAAAAGAATATAACTACACCTTGCCTAAACTACACTCCCTCACCTCTTTTATGTCTCATGAACCTATTTGCTTCACAAGTCTATGTTCTGATAGCCATTAGTTAGTGACAACCATTTCACATGACTGTGAGCCTACTTCATTTGAAGAGGCAATACTGGACCCTGCCTAGCAGCAGGCCATGACACAGGAGTTTGAGGCTTTATATGCCAATGACACTTGGGAGATGGTTATGTTACCTGATGGGAAGAAAGTTATTGGATGCAAGTGGGTGTACAAGATCAAGCACAAAGCTGATGGTAGTGTGGAGAGATTTAAGGCCAGATTGATGGTCAAAGGCTATACACAACAAGTTGGGGTAGATTACACTGAAACCTTCTCACATGTGGTTAAAATGACCATGGTTAAGACCCTAATTTCTTTGGCTGTCAAGAAGGATTGGAACTTGTATCAATTGGATGTCAACAATGCATTCTTGCATGGTGATTTACATAAGGAGTGTGCAGACTGAAAAAATCATTATATGGACTGAACAGGCTAGCAGATAATGGTATGAGAAATTGGCAAATAGTCTTTGTTCAAAAGGGTACCAACACTCTGACAGTGATCACTCACTGTTTTATAAAAGAAAGGGCTGCTCTTTGGTTTTTGTTGCTGTATATGTGGATGATATCAACATAACAGGGACTGATGTAGATGAGATCAACTCCTTAAAGGCCTTCCTAAATGATCAATTCAAGATAAAAGACTTGGGCAGATTACACTACTTTCTAGGACTAGAGATCCTCTACAGGCATGATGGTGTTCTAATCTCACAAAGGAAATTTACTTCACAGTTGTTGACACCCAATTTTGACCCTCCACAATATAAATTAATCATTTCGAGCTTCTCCAATTTCAAACGATTTAAAATTATTAGTTTTATACAATTTCTAAAAAAGTAAAATAATAATGAAAATAAATAAATAATAATATAGTTTACAAGATTTTTAAATAGTTTGTCACTTTTCATAAATCTTAGATGATATATATGTTTTACATAATTATGTATATAATTAGAATATTTTATGATTATTCGAAAATTGTCTCAAAAAAAAAAGATTTTATATTTTAAATATTAGGGATAGTTATAATTTTGAATTAATGAGTTTATGAAATTCAAAATACTTTCAAGCTATGTTTAAAGTAATTTTATCATTTTTTAAATAAATATGTATATTTTTGCAATCACGTTATTTTATAAATATTTGAAAATCATCACAAAAGATTTTACATTTTAGTTAAATATTTTATTAATTTACTTTAAGTTATGGTTATAATTTTGAGTTAATTAGTTTTGTAATTGAATTAATTAGTTTATAATTAAGTTAATTATTTTTTATTTCGTTAAGATTAAGAAGCTCATCAATTAATTCATTTTGTCTAAGTCTTAACCAATTCATCGATTAAATTCGATTCGATTACAATCTAGATTTAGTTGAACTTTATTTCCTAAACAATTTTCAGCCAATTAAAAGGCCAAATTTTGGGCCTCTGTTTTGTTTTTCTTTTTCAATTCGCAGCCCAGTACTCGAACTGGCCCAATTCCTTCAGCAAAAGAAACCCAGTTCATTATTTCCCTTTTCCAGCAACAATTCCCATCCCTCCCAAATCCTCATCAGCAACCCATTCCAATTTACATCAGCCTATTCCCTTACATTTCAGTACCAAAAAGATCTGATCCAACAATTCCACCAACATACATCAGCATATACATACACATACCAAACCGACCCAACTTCTTCTTCTCCCCTACGCAAGAACCAAAAGTCAAGAGCTGTAAATCCGAAAAGCAGCAGGTGTCTGCCGCGCCCATACTTTTCGTCGTCCCCTTTCCCCCCTTTTCACAGAAATCAGCTTTTGCCCATCCCCTTTACTGTGGTTTCGAAAATAGCAGAGGGGATTGAAATTGTTGTTTGAATTCTAATGGATTTTTCCCTCCAAAACGTTTTTTTCTTCTTCTATATATTCCCTCTTTCAATCAGTGTTTGGGGGGAGATTTTTTTTTTTTGGCAAGAACTCAAGAGAAATACACCTTAAATATATATACGCTCTTCCCTTATTTGTGAACTGCTAGTATTCAAAGGAGTTTTTGGAAGTTCAAAGTCGGTGGTCAAGTTGTTACTCCTTGTTCACCCTGTCCCTGTTCGCTGCCCACAACAAGGTAAACAACTCTTGACCTCTTCCCTTCTTCTTTCCGATTCCGATGAGTGTTAAATCAAGAAATATTTGTAGTGGGGTTATGAGCTGATCTTATATAGTTTGAGCCTAAGTTTTCTCTTCTTCGTAGTCTTTTCGAAACTATTATGTGTATTTCGTATTCAAAATGATTTTATCGCCTGTTTGATATGTTTTTCTTTGTTTATGGCTCTTCTCTAGTTTTTCTTAGCTGAGTTGTGCTCATTCCGATTTCTGTTTGTTTATTCGTTAATCATCTTAATACTACTCCGTCCATACTTGTTGAAATAGAGTCTGTGTTTGCTTGTCATGTGTTTGGAGGATGCAAATAAACTAAGCGGTTATGTTTAGCTATTCTTGAAAATGAATTATCCGAGTTGCGAGTAGTAGTTTTGAATAGGATTGATTCATCATGCTTGGTCCATGCTCGTTCTTAGTTTCTTTTGTAGCGTCAATATTTATGCGATACTTGTTGGAGTCGTTCGAATGCATCTGATAGCAATTGTTTAGGTCTCTGTTTACAACTTGCCTTGTTCCAAGTTTTCTTGTGCTTAACATTACTTCAAAGGATTGTTTAAATGTTGTGTTTAAATTTCAAATGTGTCCTTAGTCTCTAATTTTTCAAAAGTACTACAAAAGGAATCCTAATGCTTCATGTTTATTAAAATTTGTTCAACTAATGCATTTTTCTTTATGGGAACGGTGGAAATATATGTTTTTTGATAAAAGTTTGTGTTGAATATTATAAGAATATTATACTTGTCCTTTTCAAGATCATTGTGGCCATGGCTTAAGCATTTATCTAAAGTGATTTTGTTTATTGATGAAGTGTCGGTTGTAGTTAGAATTTGCGTGATAAGTCGCTCTTTTTTTAGTTTTCTTTGTCAATCTCTTGTAGTCTTTTTCTTCTTGAAGGCTATATTGGAATAAGTGTTAAAGTTCTTCATCTTTTTTTT